AAGAGTAGCCTAAGAGTTGGCGGTGGGTGGTAATGACTAGCTGCCTTCCCTCTAGTCTTACATTGCTAAATTAGGGACGGCTAGCGCAGATAGCCCTCGTGTAGCTTTGCGCGAATTTCAAAAACAAAGTTGGAGTCGTCAACTTTTTAAAGGCCATGGACAGGCCTAAATAAAATGTTTTTAACTGTGTACCGATTTTAAAGTTGAATATTATTTATGATTTTAAATAAATTTTGATGTTCCTATTTTGGAACATAAACAATTTGTGACAAAGAAAAATATTACTCTATCAAAGTTTTGTCAGTTAGTTATGGATGTTATTAAAACAAGAAACTGTAATAAAACTGATTCTAGAGTAGCTCTATATGAGTATGTTAATTAATGGGTTACATTTCTAGGAGGGACCAGTTATATAATTCAAGACTGACGTTTTAGTACGTAATCAGCATCGTAGTTTTGACGTAGATTTTTAAAATAAAGCAAAATTCACTGGATAGTACGCGCATTTTCACAGTTTTGAGCGAGATGATTTTAATATTAATTTATTTAAAATATTGATCAACCGAACTTAAAGCGTCGTCCGAACTTCGTTAAGTTGAGAGATAATGAGAACCACGAGTTTTGTACTGGAAGTATACCTGTGTTAATCTTCTTGATAATACACTCTATGAAATTTAAACAATATTTCTACTCTTTAGATTTTGGAGTTCTAAGGAATCCAAGTGTTATAATTACTATTTTACGCGTACAATCTTCTGTTCTGTTCAACAAAAAAACGTAACTAAACTTTTAGACAGAATATATACACAAGTTAAACTTGTTCTTTGAATTTTTTTCTGGTTTTGAGAATCTAGTTTCCAATAACAAACGTTATTTGTTGTAGAGAATTTTTCACTTTGTAGCTTCCATCCACAAGGTGGCTATCTTTTATAATACAAACTAACAATATTTGGAAAACTACAATACAACAACTTTTAATGCTGTAGTTGAAGTTGATAACTTTACTATAGTGATAAAGGTTGAATATGTAGCACAGATGATGACTTGTGAGGGTTTAGTGATTACAAGTCTTATCTTGCTCTTGGCTTTCTTTCAGTTTATAACAACGCTCAGAGCTAACTTATATTTTAATAAGCCGAAGTTTCGTGTGGAATATCAGTACGTCACTAGGCAATTGGAAGATGAATTTCGAAATATATTTCTAATTCTATACTAATTACTAATGGTAAGAAATTGAGAATGAAATTCAAGAATATTTGTATATATTAAACTTCCAATTTAACACTTTTTTATCTGAGAATCATTGACCCCTTTACAGAGATATCTTCGAGTTACTGTAATTGAATTACTAGTTTTAAACTAAATTTTTTGCTAGGAGAAAATGACAACTATCTCTGTAACTGTGGATAAAACCAATACTGCAAGAAAAGAAAATGTGAGTAAGAGAAACGTGTTTAAGTTCGTTATAATGATCTGTATATACATATATATAGTAACAAAACATATTTCTATAAAAGGAAACATTCATAATATTGTTGCATGATAAGGATGCCTCAAACAAAACAGTAGACCATGTAGAACTGGATAACATATTGTTACGACAGCGTAAGTCACGTGACGCTGGTAACACGTGATGAGTTTCTAGAAGGATCATGACTGTTTCTGGCAACTCTAGTCTTTTCTAGGCGCCGTCTATTTTAGTATATAAGCCCGGCAAATAAAGCGGAGATATAATTGGAGATAGGAACATATATAGAGACAGATAATCGAGTCAAGTCGTAAGTAAAGTGCGTGAATTGTTGTGAATTATAGCGTATGTTCAAGTTAAAGTGACTGTGGAAATTAAGTGTATCG